AGTATAGAAATAGAGTTACTAGTATTGACTTAAGGGGAAGTAGGATATATTAAAATAATAATAGATTATTTATATGTATAACTGAGTTAATTATATTGAAATAATTTGAATTGTACAAATATGATTTTGTTTTGATTAATTGATGGCCTTGCCACCATGTAAAATAAAACTAATAAAAAATTTTGTTGGAAAAAAAAAAGAAATTGTATAATTTTCATACATTCACAGTAGCCATACTGTTCATTCAAATCACAAAGTCCATTTACTAAAAACAAGCATCGAGATTCTTTGCTTTGCTATTCTATAGGACATGATAATAAAAAAAACTGCCCTCCCTTAAGATTATTTCCATACTGTGTATCCCTAAAGAATTCTCATTCTGTCACTAGCTAGACAACATTTACCATATTTGTCTTTTTTGTCACCAACGGCATCCACCACTCCATCTCGTTTAAGACATATAAATCCATGGGTCATCTTGTTGTAAAACTGAAGTATATTGCCTTTCTGAAATTTCCATTTCTCAGCTGCCCACTAGAAGTATTGTAAAACAAAGTAAAACAACTTGTCACTACATAAAAGACACTTTATGAACCTTACTTTTTTCCCCCCTTCTGTTCAATCATGTCTGATTGGGGCAACTGAATGGAGTTGAGCATTTACTGGCCAGGTGCCCTTCCGGACACCTATGCAGAGTTCACAACAAATTATTACTCATTGCACCCAAAAAGCAAATATCTGCTGCTACCTAGGATCGAACTCACAGCCTTCTGATTGTCAAGTGAGAACTCCATGTCTAGGCACCACACCACTCATCTGAATCTATTAGATTGCCTGGACAATTTCCTGCAATTTTCTTGGCAAGAGTTTTCAGAATGGCTTGCCTTGCCTCTTTCCTAGGGTTGAGACAAAACCACTAGCCCAGTGGTTCTCAACCTGTGGGTCGGGACCCCATTTGGGGTCAATCGACCATTTCATGGGGGTCGCCAAGCAAGGCTGTCCGCCATTTTTTTTGTCCGCCATTTTTTTTCCCTTTTCCGGCGGGTGCCTTACCTCCCTTGGGCTGGGCCAGCTGGTGGTCGGCCTGCTCCGTCTCTGCCGCTTGCCAGCTACGCCTCGGCCGGTGCAGGGGGCGGAACCACGCATGCACGGTGCTCCCGGGCAGGGAAAGTCCTCGACTTACGACCGGTTGGGTAGTCCTCGACTTACGACCGGTTTAGTCCTCGACTTACGACCGGTTGGGGGTCGCGGCATTAAAAAGGTTGAGAACCACTGCACTAGCCCATGGTCACTCAAATGACTTTGTGTTCAAGGCAGGACTAGAATTCGCAGTTTTCTGGTTTGCAGCCTGATGCCTTAACCACTACACCAAACTGGGTCTCTTTGTCTTATTTAGGTTTGTGCACTTCCAGATGCCAATGGCTTCATTACCCAAATTCTAGTAAGACTTTTCTCAATAGCCTGAAAATTTCTCACTATTGTACCCTCACAATATTCATATCCTTCATAAGCACTTCACAGAGGAGTCTAAAGAGTATTTTCCAAACAGTGTCTCACCTTCCATCCCATTCTTGACTTCACTGCATTTATTTTTATCAAAGCAATTTAATAGTCAAAAGCACAGAGAAATGGCCACTGAGTGGCATGATATTCTTATCTTCTCAAGCAGGAGATAGCCATTCAATTTAAAAAGTACATATAAAGGGTGGAGGAGAGGGGAGAACAAAGATTACTGTAGATTTCAAATGAATTTATTTTCAACTTTTTTTAAAAAAATAATCTTACCATGTTCTTTCTCTTGATTTCTAGTTCTTGTTCTGTAGAAAAGCAAATATTGATACAAGTAAAATATAAGAAAAAGTAAATCACTCCATTAGAATCAAAATTGTCTGCCAATGCATTTAAGTCCAATAAAATTCTAATGAAATTCATAAATCATATAGTGTAAAAGTGGCCTTCCATGAACAGAGACTAACTCCATTACTGGTGGGCATGATGACCACAGAAGCCCTCAGTATTTATGAAAAAAATAATGTTTATATCTAGTGTTTTGAATGGTTTTCAACAATAGAGGACTCTGCAACAAGAACAGCCACATTTTTGCTAGATTGAAAGCTCTCATTTTCCCCAAAGACTTAAACCACAGGCTCTGAAGTTACTTTTCCCTCATTGAAACTTAAGGGTGGCTTCAAAACATCAAAATAATGCTAAGTTGCGGCTTATCACAACTCTCCCTTTCTTGTCTCTGCGGCCTTTATGAACTTGGTTGTTTGTTACTTGAGTTCTGCCTTTACTTAGTCTAAGACTGGAAGTCTACACAGATTTATTTAAAAGTAGACATCCATGTGAAGTAAATATTTAGAATTATTCAGCTTCTGAACTCTATGCTAATCCTTCTGTTTCAAAGAAATATCCAGTGATATTATTCTTATCGTACAGTGCACCAGACTTTAGGAAATTCAGAGTCTATGTTATCTAGATGCTACAAAAATTAATAATATCATAATATCATATACATATACATATAATTTTTCAGTCTTTTTCAGAGAATGTC